AAATTTTAAACTTCATCAAATCAGGGCATATTTTGCGGAGATTCTTTAAAAATTATTTTTAAACAAATATTTTACATGTAAATTTATAAATTTTCAAATTTTTAATTGTATACTTTTTGTAAAATTGCTTCCATAAAATTTATTCTAAAAAAATATATAGAACATACTCTTAACATGCAATTACATTAAGATATATTTTTAATTAATAAATTAGTATCATAGAAAATTAATTAATTAAACGAGATATAAATGTTTACATTATTAAAATCTAATCCGATCATGCCTAAATTTAGTGGGTGTTGATTTAACCACGTAGCAAATACATGCAAGATGGGATTATAACAAATCAAACGAAAAATTGATTCTCATTCTTTTCAAACTTCATTTTTTTACAAGATCAATTTCAACTACACATTCACATAATAAAAATATTCTGTAAGTGGTCACGAAGTATGTCTAGAAATAAGGGGGGATTCAAATATGTCATTGGGCTATCTCACATTAGAAAAGGGGAATAATACATTTCTAAGGTATTTACTTTATACCATTTCAAAAATATAAAAACAAGTTCCAAATTTCACAAATCAGGTTTTTTAATTTTTTATTTATGAAATAATGAATTATTAAATCAATTTATTACTAAATATTTAATTCTAATATAATATAATTACCCCACCCCACCTCCACCACCTCTACCACTCCAGGGGACTATTTCGGCTACCGTTCCAGCCAAAATCGATATCCGGCGACCGTTCTGACGACTGCTCCGATTCCGACAAGTGTTCCAACTCCGACGAAAATTTTTAGGTCACAATTCAAAATTTTCGTAGGTCACAATTTGTTTATCAGTCACAACTTAAAATTTAAAAGCCACAATTTGTTCGTCGGTCACAAATCACAAAATTTATAAGTCACAATATTCATTTACGATCACAAACATCACATTAATTAACACATAAATTATATTTAGGTCACAATTTATCAAATTATTGGTCACAAATTAATAATTTTTAGATCACAAATCATGTGTTGGTCATATTTTATCTAATTCATTGGTCACATATCGTTTATTGTTCGCCAACAGACCAAATTAGTGGTCGCAAACAACCAAATTATTTGTGACCACCACCAAAATCATTTGTGACCACCGCTTCGCCACCGCCACCGTCTCCACCAGTAGCACCATCCCCAACACCACTATCACAACCCCAAAACCCCCATCGCCACGCGCACAGCCAAAGCAAACACACAAATCACACACAACCACTGTCGTCACCAACTTCAAATCCAAACTTCGCAGCGCACAAATAACCAAATAATAAGTCATAGGTAACCACCGCTATCGCACTATAACCACCAATCTCACCAATACCGCCAACATCACCACTGTCCGGCTAGGCACGTACGAGCGATTCCGGAGACGACTGCTTCGACAGTTTGTTAAGTTTGATCTCATAAACGTACCGATATTTTTTGTTTAGTGTTTCAGGTTACGCAGGAAAAGTTGGACGATTTTTCCCTTGGTGGTACAACGGTCGAACTGCAAAACATTTACTGAATTAATTTAGGCCAAAAATTACGGCCCTAAAGCAGTAAACTCGCACATCTCGTAATTTATGGATTCAGATAGGTCCGCTCTGGTAAATTGGCTTATCCGGTTTAAATTCCAGCATTTGCGCGTTATGGTGTGGGTTGACAATATGATTGGGGTTATCGTGAAAGGGTAACCATTGCTTGTGCTAGAAATTAGGAATTATTTCTCTTCGTTGCCACGTGATTGAAATTTGCTCTTTTGATAAATAAGAGCATATTATCTTTCGAGATATATCACGAGTGAAACTGTTTTGTTGATATATCTCTGGTTGCATCGATAAGTTGATAGAATACCTAGACTTTACCCGTTTGAAAATTCCATTGATATAAGATCGTGAATCTTACGAAACCCTGGGAATCTAAAACGGTGCATATTTGCGAACCTAGGTCTGTTTTGTGTGACTTAATTGTGACTTTGTATTTCTTGTTTTGAAAATAACAACGCACAATTTTTATTTGGGAACTTTTAATGGAAAATGTGATTTTTCTATTTGGCAACAAAAAATTAGAGGTATTTCGATTCAACAAAAGATTTCAAAAGCCATTGATGGCAATTTTCCCGTTGGTTTTTCAAAAGAACAAAAAGAAGAGGCCGATGAGCTTCCTTATACCTCTATTATTTTACACTTGGCTGACGCAGTTTTGAGAACAGTGGGCAAACTGAAAACCACTAAAGAGCTTTGGCAAAAATTGGAAGATCTGTATTTGCTCAAATCTTGTCCAAACAAGTTTTACTTACTTGAGCATTTTTTCAGTTTCAAAATAGATCATATAAAGGATCTTGATGACAATCTGAATATTTGTAACAAACTTGTTCAAGATATTGTTAACTGTGGAGAGTCGGTATCTAAGACCTATAAGGCTATTATTTTGTTGAATGCTATACCTGATACTTATCGTGAAGTTAAAAATGCTATTAAGTATGGTAGGGATACCTTAACCCCTGAGATTGTCATAGATTTCCTTAGGAGTAAGAATATGGAGATTAAGGACAAAAAAGAAGATAAGAGAAATGGTGAGTTGCATATGATGAGGAGTGGAATAAAGTTCAAGCAGATGAGTTTGGGTAGAGTTCAAGATATGGTGATTCGAGTAGTGACTCGAGTGATGATGGTGGTAAGAAGAAGAGTAAGAGTCAGGACAAACCTAGTGGTAGACGGTGTTACATCTGTGGTAAGTCTGGACACTTTATTAGGGATTGTCCCAAGAAGAAGGGTAATATGAGAGGCGAGACGAATTTGGTTTTAGGGTCGAGTGATGACCCTAGTGAACCCTATTGAGTATTACCTTAGTTACTGCATTTGCATCCGTGTGTAATCCTTTTTGCATGTGTGTGATTGCTCAATTCAATTGCGTGATTATATGTCGCATTTCAATGTGTTTGATTTGTGCATTAGCATGAGTTGGAGTGATCTTATTACTTGGTGTAATTGTTTGCATGCATAGTGGGTTGAGATGCATTAGCAGTGTGTTAGTATCTCTTTTGGTAAGGTGGAGTATAGATGCCTAGGGGTACATTGTGGTTTGAGTAGCAGTGTTCACTAATACGAAAGAAATTTATTCAGCATTTTTTCAAGTCTTGCCAAGAACTGCATACAAAACATGCTCTAAATGTGAACAAATTGAAATCAAGCATCATCTGCTAGACATTTGTCAGTTTCATCAAATTGATTTAGCACGGTAAAATGAAGTGAAGATGGGAACAAAGTTCATTCAAATAAAGCCAATTACATGATGTCGAAGTTGAAAATAATGTCAATCTGCTCTATGTTCAAGAGTTAGAAATCTAGGCCAGATTGAACACAATGCAAATCACCAACTCATTTCAGTAAGGCACCGTGTCAGTCTACGGATAAAAGAACAAATATCAATATGCCATCCATGTACTGGAACCGATTCGGCATTCAGCCGCTAATATATCCAAATCGATTTGACGGAAAATGAAAAATTAATTATGAGTACGATCAATTGAACACAATGTAAATCACCAACTAATTTCAGTAAGGAATCGTGTCAGTCTAGGGATAAAACGTGTAAGCAAATATCTACATGAAATATTCATGTAGTCGCTAATTAAATCATATATCCAAATCGATTAGAAATAAAACGAAAAATTATACATACGATAGATTCACCTGTTGTGGTTTAACTCCAATCTCAAGTTCAATTGAGCTTGAATCTAGCATTTTGCATGAATTGAATAAGAAGAATAAGCCTAACAATCGATATCAGATCAAATTTATTTAAGTTTTGTTTCTACATTATAGTATAAAGAATAACAAATGTGAGGAGTGTGTTCGCCTATGAAAGATGGGAATAATAAAAGGAATGAATTGCGAGAGAGGAATAATATATTTTGAAGTTGAATGATCGCTATATATACAGATACAACGTACACCAAGCATGTGTAAAAACTAATAACAATGCAATCTAGGGCGGGTACATGGTGGGTCACAAACACACCAATTTTCTAAAGACCTTGAACCCATGGCACCATGTTACAAACGAAACCTCGAGAAAACCACAAGGACATGTAGTAATTCCCAATTCTGATTTGGATTGAGGACATCGCCCAGCACATTCCTCAAGCAGCAGATGATTTAAGAGCCCTAACCTTGTAGAAAGAGATTTATAAGGGGATAAATCCCATTGATGGAAGACAAAGAGTGTTTATCAAAAATATTGACCCATTGAACGAACGTTTTGAAGAAAGAGCATTTGGGCATTGGAGAGGGAGAAGTGGAATGTGTAAGATAGG